ACCTCAGAACTCTGAGCTCTGCAGCTGACCAATGAGAGCGTGGGGGTGCAGGGAGAGAGTTGCCTGGCAGCCGCATAGGAATCAATGGGGGGAGCACATTTTCCCCCTTTTGACCCACATAGGGGTCGAATTTCTAAAAATCCCTTCTTAGCCAGTGTAGGAGCGCTCTCCCTGAATTTGGTGTCTCTAGGTCCAGCGGTTTGGCCTGTGCGTTGATTTTACGGTGAGGGGACTTTCTTTTATATATACAGATAACACATTTTTACTTAAGTGAGCAGTACAGTAGTTAACAGCCCAAAACGAGGAATATGTAGGAATATACCAGTTAAATTTCAAAAGCAATCAAGAATACTATGCAAAAATTTGGGTTGCTGTAACTTACATGCTAGCAAAATTTTAATATTATCTAGCAGAAAGCTTTCCCACTTAATCTAAGAGCCTCTTTAATATAAGTGAAAGGCAAATACATTCATATGCTGAAATTTGTTACACTGCTGGTGACCTTTACGGTCTATAAAATGGAATAACAATAATTATTTAAAAATTAACATGCGGCAGTGAAAATAGACTAGGCAGAAGCAGAACCATGTTACATCCCTACTGCAGTGTATGTAATGTCAAACATATAAACTAGATTGTCAAACTACTAAAGCTGAAATGCTGTGCAATAATTAATTTGGAGTAAATCCAACAGACCTCAGTAGGACTTACTTCTGAGTAAAGTTATGCATAGGATCCAGATGCACAGATCAGTTCCAGAGCAATCCTCTGCATCAATCGGACAGCTTGTTTAACACCTATGAAAACTTCATCTAAATCTGTCAACCATGTACTAGTTTGAAAATTATTCAGGTCATCTCTAAATAAGCAGTACAAGGCCACCACTTTAAGTGGACATTATTGTCAAGACTACCACTGAACAGAAAATATTTCACTGACCTGTTGGTAGCTATATTCAAATTACCTTACCTTGCATAATTACAGCTAACTGTTCAGCAGCAGACTTCCTCAAAGCTAGATCAATAGTACCCGAGATAAAGATATCATACAGCTTTTCAATAGTCTCAACCTAAAAATAAAATACCATTATTTATCAAAAAGATACAGATATAGATACATCTCTTTTCAATTAGAATTAAAGGTCATCTACTATAACTTTCCAAAAATGGCTAGGTCAACATAAAACATTTTTTATTTTTAGTATATAAAATGAAGCTGAAGCATGATCAAATGACTGAAGCCTCTATGGAGCTCTTAAAGAGCTGAAGCAATCTTCCCTTCTCTCTTGAACACAAATCACCATCGCCAGCAATGTGCAGGCTCCTTTCGAACTTCTCTCACAGTTAAAAGGCAACTTGTAATGCCAAGGTGAAATAAAAGAATAAAAACATTCTGAGCATGCAGATCTAATCATGTTAGAGTAAAAAAACTACAGCGCCATGCACATATGCAAACAGATTTTGGCTGCGGTCACACGCAACATTAGCCACGCAAGAGATACAGAAGACAAGCGGAGTTTCCGGTCGCGATCTCACCAGCACAGCGCCATGCACATATGCAAACAGATTTAGTATGCTAAATAGGTTATTGTAAAAAAATCACATGTAGAAAGATCAATTACTTTAATAAAAGAAATCTGTGGCAAACAGATATGGAAAGTCTGTCCAGCATTTCCTGATCCACGTGGTAGACAGTGCCATGTTACAGGAATCATTACTATGAAAGATTTGCTCACACATCTTACCTACACTAGTCTTGTTACGTTTTAGTATTGTAGAGTTCTTCTAAAATTAGTTAACTGGTTTCCTATTCAGCTAGACCCAGCCATTTAGCACTAAAACTAATTTCTTCAAGGCTACCTATGCAAGCCCATAAGTATCAAAATGCAGTATCTGAAAGCAACATCTACAGTTTCACTACAGATACTGGACCTCTGGTTTATTTAATTCATCAAAATACATTGGGCAATTTATTCCTGAGAAATTTTTAATATACTCCAACTAAAAATGTGCATAATATTTTCAACAGTTATCTTCAGTTAAAGTTGGAGTAGCACTTATCAACACTGTTCCTATTTGCATAATGCAATTACTTTCCTTCACCTTAAACACTGACTCTTTAGCTTCATCCAACTTCAGCTGAATAGGTTTTTCCACAATAAGTAGATTAGGAACACTGGAGAGGACACCACCATTCAACAGTGGGCGCTTCAGGTTAGCCCCTTCTTCAACCGTAAGATGGAACATGATGTGTTTTAGTGCCATGGAACGAACTCTGAGGAAGCAAGGTGTAAGCTTTATCATGGAAACAGTGCCTGCACTTTAAATGCAGTTTTCATAAACACCCAAACCCAATTGTACTTTACATAACCTACCTCTTCTGTGTAAAATATTTTTTAGTATTCTGCCTGCTTAAAAACCATGTCTGCTTAGCTTCCCAGCATCTTACACAAGATTACAATAAATCGTTCCAGTAGATTGACTGAAACCTGGGTCAAAATGAAGACGACTTGTCCAAAACCACCAACCAATTAATACTGTACAATAGTCGGCAAAAGTAAGATTATTTGAATAAATTCCACCTGACCAAACTAATCTGAAAAATCTCCTATTCCATATTTACAGATACAACTGAAGGTCAATAAAATTATACTAAGTAGTTTTATGGCTGACATAGCATACAAGTTGCCTTATCGTTCCAACTGCGTCACTTAAGTTCCCTATTTGTATCTCTAGTCTCTCCTGTGCAGTTAACCTCTTTTTCAGTGCTCTTTTATTCCTGTTTCCCAGATGTTACTCCTTGTTAGCCCATCAATCAAGACTTCATGAAGTGTAGTCTTTTTAGATAAATCCTACAAGCCTCTAGGGCAGTGGTTCTCAAACTCTTTGAAATGGGACTCACTTCTGAACTTAGTGTACACCTTTTAGGATCCACCTGCGAGCAAAGAGTCTGAAAACCACCACAGACTATTTACCAAGCCATTTCACAAATTATGTAGAAGCTACCCCAATTTTGAAATCATGATTCCCAGAGCATCTTCTCCACTTCGCTTATCTTTTTTTCACGACCTTGCAACCCACCTGGAAGACAGCCAAAGTCCACTTTCTGGCCCCAATCCAACCCAAAGGTTTTGAGAACCAATGCTCGAGTCACAGGTATGCCACCTGTAGCCACCTATATCCAATTTCATATGCCCAAAATCTTGAGTACTTCTTAGTTCTGTAAATGTTCATGGGGGTGTTTTATTACCCTACAATTGTCACCTCTATTAGAAGGCAAAATATATTTACAACTTGATTCAACATGCTGGCCAATACATTTTTAATTAATACATTTACAATGAAATTATCTCATGTTTACTCACAGTGGCTTTTTTGAGAATAGAAGACGAAGGGCAGCCCTAAGCCGAGTAGTTCTTGGGAAAATAGCTTCTTTTTCATCATTTGTTTCACTCAGGGCAAGGATGCATTTACCCAGAGGTTCTTCTGTGTCTGCATAACCCTAGTGCATTGATTGATTAATTAATTAAATGTTTTAGTTCCCACTCACCTGAAAGGTTTTGTGGCAACTTAAAACTTTAAAACCAAAAAGGAAAAAAAAAACCATGAAAACAAATAACAAATATAAAATATTACCATTACAATATTAACGTGGCTATCACCGTAGCACTATTAACAAACACGTGGTTACCCTTCAAAGGCTAACCTAAACAATTCGGCTTTGGATGGCCTGTGGAAACTAAACAAGTCTGGCAGGGCACGGGTGTCATCTAAGAGTGCATTCCACAGGGTAGGGGCCACAACTGAGAAGGCCTCTCCCGTGATGACAGCTAACCAAGCCATCCGGGGGCCAGGAACCTGCAAGAGGCCCCTAGATTATGACCGAAGGCAGCACAGGGGGTTATAGTGGGAGAGGTGGTCCCATAGGTATGAGGGTCCAAGACTGTTGAGGGCTTTGAAGCTTAACACCAATACCTTAAATTAGATTTGGACACTAATTGGTAGCCAGTGCAACTGCCACAGAATTGGAGTAATATGAGCTGATGTTCCAGTCAATAACCTGGCAACTGCCTTCTGGACCACCTGCAGTTTCTGAAGCATTTTTAAGGATAGCCCATTAAAGAGCAAACTGCAGTAGTCCAATCTGGAGGTGACAAGGTCTGACCCAGACAAATAAGAAGAGAAGAAGAAGAGACTGGACTTATACCCTGCCCTTCACTCGGAGTCTCAAAGCGGCTTACAAACTCTTTTCCCTTCCCCTCCCCACAACAGACACCCTGTGAGGTAGGTGGGGCTGAGAGAGCTCTTTTGAGAACTGCTCTTTCACGAACAGCTCTGACAAAACTATGGCTTGCCCAAGGTCATCCAGCAGCTGCATGTGTAGGAGTGGGGAATCAAACCCGGTTCTCCCAGATTAGAGTCCGTGCACTTAACCACTACACCAAAGCTGGCTGGCCTGGTGCAGGTGAAAAAACGCTGACTATGCTACCATGGACACTTGTTTATCCAATGATAGGACAGAATCCAATCACACCCTGAGGCTCTTTACAGTGTCTACAGCTGTCAATTCAACACATCGAGTTCCAGGAGTGACCCTCCAGCTAGCATTTCAGTCTTTCCCAGCCACATGACCTCAGTCTTGGATGGATTCAACTTCAGTCAGCTCCCCCTTAACTACCGGACCCAGACACGGGGATAGTTCTGAGAGCCCTGCCGCCAGCTGCTTATCCAGCAGGAGGAACAGCTGAGTGTCATCAGCATACTGATAGCACCCAACTGCAAACCTCTGGCCATCTCAACAAGAGGGTACATATATATTTACAAAAACTATCTAATGGAGTTGAATGCTAGGTGTTAACATTTCCTGGATAAAAGGAAATGAAATTCTATCTGTGATTACCTACTAGTAAATCATAGGCCAAAGCCAATCTGTCCAGTCTGCCAAAACATATACACTGTCACCACTATGAACCAGCACCACACTGAATTTCTGCAGTGATCTATTTTCACTACAAAGATTGTCATTCCAAAGGGACATGAACATTTTTTTGTGTGTGTATGCACACACACACACATATAAAGCTTATTCAAAGCTTGATCAAGCAATTCCTGACTGGCTATACTGAGCTAGCAACTTCACAGGCTACCAATGCAGTGAAGCAAAAATATTTATCATATGGCAGAGTTACACACAGGAAGTATGTAATAATATAAAGTATGTAACCAGGTTGATACAGCAGGTATGCAGACCAATTGCGTAATCCCCCTAAATATTAATATCTAGCTTTTCAATCCACTCAGTAGCAGCTGGGGAGAGTTCAAAGAACTCTAACATCTCCCTGGGAAGCTCAACACTCACATTCTTGTGACAGATGGAAAATAGTTTGGTGGGCTGCACCGCAATTGCACTTGGGTCCTGGTATTTTGCCACATTTAAACAACAGGTCTGCACAACTGCCAAAACCTGTCCATATTAGCCATCTTCCATACTGTACATGGCAAGTTAAATCCTGAGGACCTCTTGTTGGTGTTTATCAGGTTATGGATATCAGATGGAATTGATTGTATCCATGGTTGCAACCATTTATTCCCTTGATCAAAATTTTGTGACTGCAGGATTTGTGCAGATCTTATTGTTGGGTGTCAGGATCTTAGTCTGGATAGGTCTGCATCAGCCATGTCTTTGTGGATGGACAACTCTGTTTTCAATTATCTTTCTATATTTATGAAGAGCATCTTGTCTTCGGAGTTGCAGGGGAGCAATGTGGCACGTGGATAGCCAATACGTCGGAGTGGGTTTAATACAGCTGCTGAAGGTTCTCATTGTGTTGAGTTGGGCATCAAGTTTGTAGATATGGGGGCTGTTGAGCCACACTGAAGCACCATATTCTGCAGTAGTATAGACCAACCCCAGAGCTGAGCATCTAAATGTTCTAGCAGATGCACCCCAAGTTGTACCACATAATTTTTGAAGAACATATATCTACAGTGAAAAGGCACATTCCTCAAGGATATTGGAAAGAATATATTCCAGGCTGGAGTAACCAGAGAGAGAGGCTGTTTCAAAATTTCTTCGACAGTAAACACCCAGAAGTAGCCGATGAACTACTTCATGAACTCAACACTGAGTGTAGACAAAAAATGAACTGAAGCAACTGTGAATCTGGATTTCAGGCATTCCAGTAGGAAATCCTGGAGCCTGTTGAAAGAACTAGGTGCAAGCCCACCTGTGCTCAAAGGCACTGAAAGACATCAAGAGCAGAAAGGCACCAGGCTTTGACTGCATCTATAATGAGTTCCTGATCAACAGCATCTCACTGACATCACGAGAACAGGAAGACACCCAGAAGAATTCAGGAAAGCAAAGGTAGTTGCTGTTCTGAAACCTGGAAAACCAAAACATCTGGTGGAAAGTTTCAGACTTAGTTCCCTTCTGAGCTAGTGTTATAAACTCGAGAGGCTAATCCTGAACAGAAGTAGTGACAAAATTAATGAACATGTCCCTACAGAGCAAGCAGGATTTACACCCCATTGTAGTTCTCAGATTCTCAGCTTAACAACCCTCATAGAGGCAGGGTACCAGAAGAGTCTTTAAAACATCAGCAGTTTTTATCAAACTGACTGCTGTTTATGACACAGTCTGGAGGGGTGGTCTGTTGTACAAGTTTTTAAAAGTTTTCCCCTGAGGAACATTATTTTGACTCCTAAATAACATGCTGAGTGATAGAACTTTCCAAGTAATTATGGGCCAGTCAATCAGCAAGCAGAAGGAACTGAATAACGGTCTACCCGAGGGCTCGGTCCCTGCTCTAGTTCTTTTCAATCTCTAATGTTCCTCAGATGAAATCCAGGAAGTTTGCTTATGCTGATAACATGGTGATTGCAGTAAGGCACAAATCAATTGAAAGGGACCTCAAATTTTGGCTGACTACTACCATAAATGGTAGCTTATCCCAAGTCCAGGAAAAACAGAATGCTTCTGTTTCTATCACAATAACAATCTTGCCAAAAACTGATAAATCACCAGGCCCAGATGGCATACATCCGAGAGTTCTGAAAGAACTCAAATGTGAACTTGTGGATCTCCTGACAAAAATATGTAATCTTTCCTTAAAATCAGCCTCCATTCCTGAGGACTGGAAGGTAGCAAATGTCACTCCCATCTTTAAATGGGTTCCAGAGGAGATCCGGGAAATTACAGGCCAGTCAGTCTGACGTCGATACCGGGTAAATTGGTGGAAACCATTATTAAGGAAAGAATTAGTAGGCACATAGATGAACAAAACCTATTGAGGCAGACTCAGCATGGGTTCTGTAAGGGAAGATCTTGTCTCACTAACCTGTTAATGTTCTTTGAGTGGGTGAATAAACATGTGGACAAGGGGGATCCAATAGAT